TTTTAGAGTTGGAGAGGCAGCAGCCAAGTCCCTCAGTCCCAGCACGGCCTATGAATTGAGTTGGATTAAGTGACCAAATCAGAAATTACATTCATCTGCCTCGGTCTGCTTAGGAGTCCTCCTTAAAAGATGCCCTCTTCCCTTCCATTGTTTTTATGTCAAGGTTCCTTTCCATGAGTTTCCTGATACTCAGAAATCAGGTGTTGTCAGAACAGGACTAAGACTTCTTGGAAGAGGAAAGGATGGCGCTGAGTCAACAAAATAGTTCAGGGATTTCCAGAGCAGACTCAAACGATAGTTTTCTCCTGTAACAAATATGTAGTAAGCATTTTGTTGTTGTTGTTGTTGGAAATGAAGGTCCCGAGAACCTTTTGAAGGTGATTGACAAGGATGAACTTTCATAAAATAAAACTCAGGACAACTCACTTAATAACCGTCGTGCTCGTTTGTGGTCGTAAATCAAGGGCTATTTGTATTTAGGTAAAGGTAAACATGCATGCTAGTTGTTCCCGACTCTAGGGGGTGGTGCTCATCTCTGTTTCAAAGCCGAAGAGCCAGCGCTGTCCCAAGACGTCTCCGTGGTCATGTGGCCGGCATGACTCAACGCCAAAGGCGCACGGAACGCTGTTCCCTTCCCACCAAAGGTGGTCCCTGTTTTTCTACTTGCATTTTTTACCTGCTTTTTAGGTTGGCAGAAGCTGGGACAAGTAACAGGAGCTCACCCCATTATGTGTCACTAGGGATCCGAACTGCTGAACTGCTGACCTTTCGATCGACAAGCTCAGCATCTTAGCCACTGAGCCACCGCATCCCATCATTTCTATTTATTAACATCAATATTGCAGAAAGTTATGTTTGGAGATTGCCGAACTCATTGGCTAACTCTCTTTGGAAGAAGTTTGGAAGCATTCAGCCTGTCTCTTTCCAATTGCAATTCTGGTTCAGAATTTGGAAATTCAGCCCATTTTCCCCCTCTCAGCGTAGTTACTGCTATGGCAGGGAAAAGAGGCTATGTTGTTCAACATTTCCCCTTCTCCCCAGTGTAAAAACTCATCAAGGGTTTTAATTTGAACAGTGTGAAATGGGAATTCTCCATCCTGCGGGGTTTAGCAGTTTTATCACTCCATGTTCCAGACAGACAATGGTCTGCCCCTTGAATGGTTCTCATGCTGTTCAAATATCACTTCCCCCTCCCTCCTTGGCAGCCTCCCATTCATAAAGGGAATAAAAAAACCGTCTTTCTCGCTCTCTAAAGCCCATTTCCAAACAATGCAGACACTGCACTTCTCAAGAAATCAGCTGGTTTTCCAAGAATTGGTGATGAAGGGTAAGTTTTCAGAAACGTCCTGCTGATCTGCTGGTTGGAAAGCCAGTGTTTAAGCAACAAGAAAGAATCTGATGATAATTTAATCTGCTAAGGGACAAAGCCCTTCTCTGTGGCATTTGTTGCTCCTGCCTTGCCAAGCTTTCAACACCTTATTTGTCTCTGTATCGCAAGCATTTCTTTTGTGTAATCCCCAAATTCTGAAAAGTGCAGATATCGGGGGAAACACACCCCTATCTGTGTGAGTAAGTGGAAGAATGTTGGGGTCACATTCAGACCGTGGATTGGTTTGGGGTTTGGGCGGTTTGAGTCCAAGTTAAATGTCTCCATATTCCCGAAAAATGCACAATGCGACACAACCAGAATACAACACAATGCAGAATGCAATGGCCGTTTAAGAAAGCTTCCAATCTTTTTTAAAAAAAAATAGATAAACAAATATAGTTGCCTAAATAAGCAAGAATATTTTAGCCTAAGGGCAGGAAGACTGTGATGCAGTGCTGGAAGAGAATGACTAACAGTGAAGGCATTCTGTGTTCCTGGAGTCATTATTCTATTAATTATAGAATATTTCACTCTCATCACCCGTTTTTCTATGTGCTCAGAGGAAGTATGCAATGGAGTACCCCAAGGCTCTGTTTTAGGCCCAGTACTCTTCAACATCTTCATCAATGACTTGGACGAGGGTATAGATCGGGAACTCATCAAATTTGCAGATGACACCAAGCTGGCAGGAATAACCAACATTCCAGAAGATAGGCTTAAGAGAAGGATCTTGACAGACTTGAACATTGGGTGCTAGCTAACAAAATGATATTCCATGGTGAAAAAAGTAAGATTCTACATTTAGGTATAGTATATGTGGTACCTTGCTCAATAGTAGTAACTGTTAGAGGGATCTTGGAATCCTAGTGGACAACCGTTTAAATATGAGCCAGCCATGTGCAGCAGCTGCCAAAAAAGCCAACACAGTTCTAGGCTGCATAAACAGAGGGATAGAATCCAGATTACATGAAGTGTTAATACCACTTTATAATGCCTTGGTAAGGCCACACTTGGAATACTGCATCCAGTTTTGGTCGCCACGATGTAAAAAAGATGTGGAGACTCTAGAAAGAGTTTGATGAAAAGCAGGACTAGGGAAGACATGATAGCAGTGTTCCAATATTTCAGGGGCTGCCATAAAGAAGAGGGAGTCAAGCTATTCTCCAAAGCACCTGAAGGCAGAACAAGAAGCAATGGGTGGAAACTCATCAAGGAGAGAAGCAACTTAGAACTAAGGAGAAATTTCCTGACAGTGAGAACAATCAATCAGTGGAACAACTTGCCTCCAGAAGTTGTGAATGCTCCAACACTGGAAATTTTTAAGAAGATGTTGGATAACCATTTGTCTGAAGTGGTGTAGGGTTTCCTGCCTGGGCAGGGGGTTGGACTAGAAGACCTCCAAGGTCCCTTCCAACTCTGTTTTTCTATTCTATTCTATTCTATTCTATTCTATTCTATTCTATTCTATTCTATTCTATTCTATTCTATTCGCAATGCAACTTCATTGAAACAGTTCTGGAGATTTAAAACTGAGTCAGAGCAAAGGTGGGGAATTGGTTTTCTTGACTGTCCATGGTATTTTCAGGAGTCTTGGGTCCAAGTTCAAAGTCCAAAGGCATCAATAATCTTCCTATCCCACTTTTAACTAAGTCCAATTTTGGCTTCCATAGAGATTCACGATGGAATATCATAGCTTGCATGATTCTGAGATTGCACGATTCAGTGTTGTTCAGGCTACCTTATGCATCAAGATCTGCCTTTCTGGGAAACATCACCTTGTAATTCAGATGGAATTAATTTTGGAAGCCTGATAAGTGAAGGGAAAGTTGCAGGCCGAGTGATGCAGGGAGATCTCAGAAAGGGAATTAAGGATGGGAGGTGAAAAGTATCTAGAGGTAGTTTTTTTTCTGGTGGAATCTGGGCACCTTCTCATTTCCTATTTGACATGAGTTCAGAGAAATCCTCATTTCCTCCCACTCTTTCCCCCCTGAAGTCTGTCTCAAATGAACTTCAGGTCCAAATATCTGAAGAGATCCATTTGCTGATTGCTATTGACAAACTTAATTTGGGGCGACTACGCAACCAGATGTTGATGTATGTTCTGGCTTTTAGATACTGAATATCTCTGCAAAATTTCATTGTTAACTGTTGAATCCTAGCTCCATATGCAAACATACACATACCCCTATATATCTAGCATCAATTTTAAAAGCTTGCTACTGCACTGAATACAACTGGCAATTTGCAGGGGATAATCCCTGCCCTGGACAATATGTTATTCCTCCTTTTCTAACATAAAGTTAGAAGAAACAAGAAATGGGGCTATGGGTTTATCCTACAGATGAAAGATGCTGTTTTTCTATTGCCTGGGGCTGAGGTATATAGAAGAAAGCTTTTGTTCACGATCTTATCTTCCAGAGATTCAATTTATCAACAGAAACACCCAAAGATTTATTTCCACTCTCACTAAGAACTGATTCAGTTTAAGGGAATGTGGCCTTAGAAAGAATAATTGAGAAAAAACTTTAGAGACCTTCAAGCAGTTTTAGTGAGAGGTGATAAGTGTTGGACTCAAAACATTTTCCTTGCATAGTGTCTGTTGTACCAGATAACTTTTTCCCATTATAGTTGTGCTTCTATTTTCTCTTTTTCTGATTCCTGGTTCAGCTACGACAATGATGGCAGGATCATCCATGGTCCATATACGTAGCTATCCCAGCACCATCTGAAGTCCCTGTGCTGAAAAGGAGAAATTTCATCAGTGATTCATCATTGATGAATGAGCATACATTATGCGATCCATAAACTCATATCATGATAAGAAACTTCCTGGGGAAATATGTAAAAGTTGTGCAAAGTTAAGTGGAGCCATTTATAAAAGGAAAGATTTGAAATACTGGGCAAAATCAGTTCAATAGATTTGCCTATCCTTGTAAGCACCTTCCATCCAAGAAATAGTTGCGTCTAGTCTTGTAGGACAGAAGAAGGCAAAGCTAAAAACGGTAGGACCGATAAAGTGTCAGTACCATGGACAGTTCACAAGGGATGATCATAGTATTAAGGACAACAAGCAGATAATTGAAAGGTTATTCTTACTAAAGCAGGGGTGAAATCCAGCAGGTTCTGACAGGTTCTGGAGAACCAGTAGTGGAAATTTTGAGCAGTTCGGAGTAGTTTGAAGAACCGGCAAATACCACCTCTGGCTGGCCCCAGGGTAGGGTGGGAATGGAGATTTTGCAATATCCTTCCCCCAGGAGTGGGGAGGGAATGGGGATTTTGCAGTATCCTTCCCCTGCCATGCCCACCAAGCCACACCCACCAAGCCACACCATGCCCACCAAGCCATGCCCACAGAACCGGTAGTAAAAAAAGTTGGATTTCACCACTGTACTAAAGTCAAGCATCTACTCTACCTGAAAGATTGTGGCTCGTGATTATGTCATTGTTGAATCCTCACAACCACAGAGATGGATCTTCTTCATGACCACCTACTACTGATTTGTTCTTCCAGGTCTCCCAATGAGACACTCATCACCGCCGTAACTGTCTACTTTGTAGTTAATTATTACTTTCTTTAATACTTTACTTTCTTTTTCTTTCATTCATTGTTTTCTTCTCGTTGTTCCTGCAGCACTACGGAGTCGATCAGGACGTGCTATCATCAATGGGAATTGGGCAATTGATCGACCTGGGAGATACGAGGGAGGAGGAACAATGTTCATCTATAAACGACCCAACGAGATCTCAAGTACTGCCGGGGAATCCTTTTTAGCAGATGGCCCAACCAATGAAATCTTAGATGTCTATGTAAGCATCAAATATCATTTCTTTATTGAACTAGACTAGAGGAATCATCCTTAACAATTAGAAGTTAGGAAATAATTTACTCAGGGATGAAATAGTTTTCTAGGTTAATTTTCCATTTGGATATGTTGAGAAGGAAGTCAGAGACCTGGGCAGGTGTATGTGTCTGTGTGTGTTTATTTATTTATAACCCGGTGTCAGACCTGCCTCAACTTGAACCTTTAAGCGAGAATGATCCTTAATTCTGTTAACAAACAAAGGTATAGTTTACTAAAAGTCAAGTGAAATACAGTAGAGCAAAGCCAGAATGGAAAAGCACAGCAAATTCCTAAGTGCAACTTAGTGGCAGTTCTGACACCTAGACTCTGATGGGTAAATTTATTTTTTATTTTATTTTATTTACTAAACCTATATGCTACCTATCTCTGAACTTGAGAGGGGACAGAAAAATGTGGAGATGAATAAAGCTACATTTTTTGTGGAGTTTTGTGGATCTGGTTTAGCTGGTGGGATGAACTGGGTTTGTGCATCGGAGTCAACTCAATGAAGGTTGAGGTTCTTCTTCCTTTGACAGATGATTCATCAGCAGCCCAATCCAGGTATACATTATGAGTACATTATTCCAGGTCCCAACACCATCAGTTCCCAGGTGCCTCTTCACAGACGGCCAGGTAAGAATCCAGTGATTTCCTCAACCAATCTGATGGCTTTCGCTTTCACTTGATTGGCAGGGACTTCTTGAACCAGGCATTTTTTCCCATCCTTTCAATGGCAGGAAATGTTTTTTTTCTGATGCATCCAGTAAAGCTATCTTTGAAAACAAAGCATCACAGTTGCCCCACTGGGCTTTCTTTTTTTCTTGAAGGCATTTCGCTTCTCATCCAAGAAGCTTCTTCAGTTCTGAAGCTTCTTCCAGTTGAGTCAGAACTAAAAAAGCTTCTTGGATGAGAAGCGAAATGTCTTCAACCAAAAACGAAGTCCGGTTCCTTTTGAAAAAGCCCCTTTGGGACAACCATGACCTGGATGACTGAGAATCTTCATAGATATCACATTTGTCATTGTTATTTTTAAGGTTCCCCAAACTTGATAGCTTGATCAAAAGTTTATTTAGGAGGCTCATCTAACTGCTCAATCTACCAGGTTTGATTTCTCTAGCGCAGAGGTCTTCAAACTTGGCAGCTTTAAGACTTGTGGACTTCAACTCCCAGAATTCTCCAGCCAACATAGCTGAAGTCCACAAGTCTTAAAGCTGCCAAGTTTGAAGACCTCTGCGTTTCAAATATTGTTTGTTTGTTTGTTTGACCTTCACTCCTTTAAGGAATTAAATGCTTCTGAAAGGTTATTCTGTAATCTTTCTGGACATTTCTGCACAATTCTCTACATGCAAAATAAATTTTATCCTTATAGAGAAAACAGATTTTATTCATGGAAAATAAATGGTGGGGGGAATAGAATGAGGGGAAAGGCCTATTTTTTAAAAAACTCCACCCAATGTCTCCATGTATTTTCATAAAATGCCTCTTCATCAAATTTTTGGGTAGAATAAAGGACACATTTCTTCCCCCCCCCTCAATTTCCAGCTATTTAGCTGGTGTATTTCTCGTTGTTGCTTCAGTTTTGTTCACGTCAGGATGCTTTAACTGAATGCTCTGCGCTATTGTAAGGTCGGTCAAAGAACAAACTTTAGACTTTTCAGCCTGGTGACAAATAGAATATCTTATTCTAAACAGTTCGCGGCCTTTGCGCCTTTCAAACCATCCTTGCGCTATGTAGTTCACTGCTACAAGCAACCTCTGAATTTAGGTGGTCACCCCAAGTCCTGAAGGGCTTGGGGGCCATTTGTATTCCGGCTGGCTCATGGCCGAGAAAGACACATTTGTTCTTGTGGTGCGATTGATCTCATGTGCCTAGGGGAGCCATTCAATGGCCAACTGGATGTGACAGAAACCGTGAATTATGAGGAGGAAGATTTGCATCAGGAGACAAGCAGTCACCCGAGACAACCAGGGATGAGTCAGCCTGGAAGATTTCCTTCCCAAGTTCCAGACAACCAAGTCCCTCCTGTCGGTCAGCCTCCGAGACGCAGCCGGGAACATAACTGGAAGCAAATCGGAATGACTGAGTGCAGCGCGACTTGTGGGAAAGGTTTGTAGTTTGTAGAACTCACCCATCTGACCTTGGAAAGGCTTCCATCTGCCGAGGGCCAGAAGTGAAGGAGGTGGAGAATTTAGCTATGGATTCATTTATTTATCCCATCTCTATAACTGCCCGTCTCTGCCAAGTGATTCTGGGTGGCTTACGACTCTAGAATTCTAAAACAGATCAAACAAGGAAAAACAAGGAAAACAGCCAGAAAAGAAAGACAAACAGCAGCCAAGATAGTTAAACAATCAATTGAGTAAGATCGAGAAACAGGGCCCTTAGCAGATTCTGATCCCCAGGCTTGGGTACATAGTAGGGGTGAAATTAAAAAAATTCCTCTACCGGTTCTGTGGACGTGGCTTGTTGGGGGGATCCTCTCACTGCCTCGCCATGGATCTCCAAAAAGGTTGGCTGCTCTGAAAGCATTTATAGCAGTGGTGAAATTAAAAAATTTCCCCTACCGGTTCTGTGGGTGTGGCTTGTTGGGAGGTCATGTGACTGGGTGGGTGTGGCCAACTCAACATCACTCACATCGAGGGGCTCCTCACCGGCCCCTCCCCTCCGAGCCACTCCTTGTCGCGAATGGCAGGAAAATGGGGAGGGGAATATTCCTGCCTACCATCCTTCCCTCAGTCTGTGCTGAGATTGACGAATGGATGACAGGCAGGAAAATCCCCTTCCCCATTTTCCTACCTTTCACAAAAATGGCTCCATTCCAGCTGCTCCCCTCCCCCGTCCTCCCCCCCCCTGGGGACCACCTTAAAAGGGACAGGCTGCAGCAGCTCCATTCTGAATGGAAGGAGAAAAGTTAGCGGCAACTGGTCGGGCGTGGGTGAGGCCAAGGAGTGGTAATTACTACCAGTTCAGCGAACTGATGCCCATAATCCCTAGCGGTTTGCCTGAACCGGTCTGAACCAGTCTGAACCGGTAGGATTTCACCCCTAGTACATAGCCAAGTTTTTAAGGTTTTATGAAAGATCAACCGGGTTGGGGCAGCAAAACAGTGTCAGTTCTCCTTCTCTTACTATTTGGGACATCTTCAGGGCTTCCCGATGCCAGCTGTCATTTTCCTTCCCTAATCATCTCAGTTATTGAAGGTTGACTTCAGGAGGAGAAATTTCAAGACATTCTCTGCTGGAAAAGTTGACGTAATTCCATCTGAAGTTTAGGACTTTCTAGAAACTTTTCTTTTTCAGACCCGGGGTGAAGAACCCCCTTCATGTTGGCCAGGTCCTCCTCCATTTTTCTTGGTCTTGCAACCTTCCTAGAAATAAAAGGCTCAGCTAAATCTCTGTCCACATTGGCCAAATCCAAAACAACTTCCAGAATTTCCCACATTTTGGACCCAAGGAAGCTGCCCCTTCCAAAGACTTTGGGGCAGGTTTTCCTCTCCTCAATCATGCCCCATCCCTAGAGTTCCTCAGTTGGCCATTCCTGGGAACATTGGTGGCTGTGAAAATAAGATTTGCTAGCCCCTGGGATATTTACTGCTTTGATAGAAGCAGCATGCTGAGAGAGGAAACTATAGCAGAAGAGGAACGGTGGAGGCTGGCCAAAACTTCCGTATTTTCTGTAAACTCACTCTGGAGAAGAAAAATAGCCCTCGAAGCAAAATTATTGCAAATTAACTTTTGGGAAGCTGAAAGCTTTCCTGGTTGAATACACCCCTGAATATATTGCATTCGGCTTTGGCAGAAATCTCCCTTTTCATTTCCTTTGTGAGTAAATCGGGCCTGGTTTTTTCATGGCATGTCAAGCAGCCCTTAGGACCAACCGGGAAAAGCCAGTTTCTCTCCACCGACTCCACCAACCCTCAACATGAATGAAAGAACCTCAGGAAATACCTCATGAGAATTTTAGATCATTGAAAATAAAACACTGAACGACGGACAGCTTCGTTACATTCATTCTGGGATGCCCAGGGTCTAACACACAAATATGTAGCTGACCATAAGTGACTGAGATAAGACAGTAACAGTAACAGTAATAGAGTTGGAAGGGACCTTGGAGGTCATCTAGTCCAGTGGTGGGTTTCAAATTTTTTTTACTACTGGTTCTCTGGGTATGGCTTGGTGGGCGTGGCAGGGGAAGATTACTGCAAAATCCCCATTTCCTCCTGATCAGCTGGGACTTGGGAGGCAGAGAATAGATGGGGGTGGGGCCAGTCAGAATTTTTACTACCAGTTCTCCGAATTACTCAAAATGTCCGCTACCAGTTCGTCAGAACCTGCTGAAACCCAGCTCTGATCTAGTCCAACCCCCTGCTCATGCAGGAGACCTGTACTAGAGATTCGAACCACCGAACTGCCGACCTTTGTGATCGACACCTCCAAGAGCCACAGCCAGCGTAGCCCATGTGGAGAGATTCTGAGAGTTGGGGGTTCAGCAGCCTTCAGAGTCTTCTCCAGAGAGTTAAGTCTTCATATCACATGTCCAAAGTAGGATAATTTGAACCCTGGTCAAATTTGAACCTAATTAAGCGACTGTTCTGAGTTGATACTCCTCTCACACAAGCTTGTTGTATTCCTTTGTCATTGAGCATCTTGCACAATGAAGGGTTCTACAGCCTTCAAGGTTCCTCCTTGTCTTGTGAGAACTCATTGTCAAAATCTACTTTGCAGTTGGCCTGGGTTCAAGAGCATGTCATATTTTGACTGGGGAGATAATCCAACTTGGTCCAGATTCCTGCCCTGGAGAAATTGGCAACGCAGAGAAACTTCTCTGGTTTAAATTCAGGAAGAGGGCTTGGTTCCAAGGACTGCTGTGAGAAATTATTCTTTTAAAAAAAAAAAAAAAATCTCCCTCCATTCCTTGTGAAAGGAAAATCAATTCTCTGACAAAATATATACGATATCCTACTTCAAAGTTTGGGAAAGGTTTCCATTGCTGATGAATTCAAATGTGTTCGCTTTTGCCGTCGACCATAACAGAAGGGCAAACAATTATAGCTTTATCAGACAAGCATCACAACTACAATCAGGGTAGATGGGTTGGGAATAACGCTTGGTCCCGCTTAGAGGAGATGCGTTGAAATTGACATGGTGGGTTGCTCACAGTCTCACTAAAACCGGTTCCAATTGTGGGAGGTTTTGTAGTGGTGGTGGTTTCCTTTAAAACAAAGGTTCATGGTTTAGGGTGGAAGAGCCCTGTAGCCTCTTGCAGCCAAATCAGCGAAGAACCAACTTTTTTTTTTTTAACTTTTAGCCTCTTAAAGAGAAATTTACAATGACCTGAAAGTGGTTCTCTTAATCAGATTCACGGCTCTTGGCCGAAACTCAGAGAGACGTTTTTGTTGCTTGTTGGCCTGTTGGTTCTCTTTGGGGAATGAAACTGGATTAAACACACACACACACACAGAAAGAGAGAGAGGGAGAAGGAGAGGGAGGGAGAGAGAGAAAAGGAGAGAAGGAGAGGGAGGGAGAAGGAGAGAGAAGGAGAGAAGGAGAGGGAGAGAAAGAGGGAGGGAGGGAGACAGGGAGAGAGAGAAGGAGAGAGGGAGGGAGGGAGAGAAAGAGGGAGGGAGAGGGAGAGAAAGAGAGAGAGAGAATCTCTTTTGCTGTAGGTTACATTGATTTAACTTGGCGTATGTTTAGTGGACTTTCTCTGCTCTATTCTTATTTATGGTTTCTGATCTGGGACGTCTATGGGAATTCAGGGAGAACTCAATTGAACTCAGGAGAAGAAACTGACTCCTCCCATACAGGACTCCCTGTATGTCTGTCATTAAATGGAGGTTTCACAGCTTCTTGCTATACCTGTCTTTTTTTCCTTTCAGGGGCGCAATATCCCATCTTCCGCTGCGTGCACAGAAACACTCACGAGGAGGTGGCTGACAGCTCCTGTGACGTCAACTCCAAGCCCACCCCGGAGGAGGAACCTTGCAATCTTTTCCCTTGCCCAGCCTTGTAAGGAGCCGATCCTTTTCTCATTTAGGCTTCTCTAAGGTTTTCCTGGCCATTTCCAGAGAACCCTAACCAGACCCTGGTCCCCAAGATTTCTGGAATTTCAAGCGGAAGTGGGGTGACAGTGCTGTGGTTTCAGCCATATGTTCTTAGGTTTAGTTAATGTTGTTATAAACATTACAATCCAATCCACATCAAATGCAGAGAATCTCTCTGTAGCTCAGAGTTGAACAGGGGGGGTCCTTGGTGCTCTCTGAGCTTGGTGGTTTCCTTGCAGACGTTTCATGACCCGACTAGATAATATCATCAGTGCTAGAATGGAGTGGGGCTTGCAGAGAGGAGGAGGAGGACGAGGACGGTGGGGTCCTTGGTGCTCTCTGAGCTTGATTGTTTTTTTGCGGAGGTTTCATGACCCAACTAGGTAACCTCATCAGTGTCAGAAGGGAGTGGGAGTTTGCGAGGAGGAGGAGGAGGAAGAGGAAGAGGAGGAGGAGGAGGAACAGAAAGAGAGACAGAAAGAGAGAGAGAGAAAGAGAAGGAGGAGAAGGAGAAGGAGGAAAAGGAGAAGGTGGAGGAGGAGGAGGAGGAGGAGGAGGAGGAGGAGGAGGAGGAGGAGGAGGAGGAGGAAGAGGAGGAGGAGGAGGAGGAGGAGGAGGAGGAGGAACAGAAAGAGAGAGAGAGACAGAAAGAGAAGTTGCTCACCATCATCATTAGAACATCATCTACACTGAAGATGTTACCTAATTGGGTAACAACACATCTGCAAGAAAACAAGCTCAGACCAACAAGGACCCCAATCATATTTCCCAGGAAGGAAGTCCAGGGAAAATTTTGTATTTGTGCTGAAATTTGCCAGTCAGAATAGAGAAGAAATTCACTCCCAATTGTGATGATGTAGCTAATTTCCACCATGTTTCAAAGGTTTCAATTTTCTGCGCTCAGCTAGTGTGCGAGACACTCCATAAAGCTATGGGCAAAAGTCCAGATTTATAGAATGACAATTTGTTGCATTTGCTTATTTCCTAGCTGGGATTTAGGAGAGTGGTCCGAGTGCAGCAAATCCTGTGGCCTGGGGATGCAGCACCGCCAAGTTCTCTGCCGGCAAGTCTATGCCAACCGCAGCTTAACGGTTCAGCTGCACCGATGCCAACACTTGGAGAAACCAGAGAGGACAAGTACGTGCCAACTGAAGATCTGCAGTGAATGGCAAATTCGGACAGAATGGACATCGGTAAACAGGAATGATTCAAAGCCAAACAACACTGGCAGCTCTAGAGTGACATTGACACAACTCACTGCTTATTGTTGGTAGCTCTTTCTGAAGAGGCCAGGTCAATCCTTAGACAGGGTAAACAAGGCCATTCATGGGACTAGGAAGGCTGAAAAGATAACCTCCTTGAAAGCTGAATGGGACGAGAAGCATCTGGCTGCCTTGTGAGATGGAGAGAGATGGAATAGAATAGAATAACAGAGTTGGAAGGGACCTCGGAGGTCTTCTAGTCCAACCCCTTGCTCAGGCAGGAAATCCTATACCATTTCAGACAAATGGTTATCCAACCTCTTCTTAAAAACTTCCAGTGTTGGATCACTCGCAACTTCTGGAGGCAAGTTGTTCCACTGATTAATTGTTCTCACTGTCAGGAAATTTCTCCTTAGTTCTAAGTTGCTTCTCTCCTTGATGAGTTTCCAACCATTGCTTCTTGTCCTACCCTCAGGTTCTTTGGAGAATAGCTTGACTCCCTCTTCTTTGTGGCAGTCAAGCTATTCTCCAAAGCACCTGAGAATCTTGGCTGGCTTTGATTATCAAAGGAAATCCATGGCCTCCATTGCAAAACCAGGATGGAAGGTTTCCATAGCACCAGACCACCCTTGAAAAAACAGTTGAGATCTTCCAAAAGACTTGAGTTTTGAGATAGCCCCTCCCACAAGCCAGGATACTTGGGTTGTGTAGTGGGGTCATCACAAGGGCAGGGCTAAAATATGACCCTTTGGCTGCCTGGGGTGATAACAGGGTAGCTTGGAGGCAACCTTTGAACCATGAGTTTTCACGTCTGCTTCACCTAAAAGTTTGTTCTTATTTTAGTGTTCAGTTCCGTGTGGAGTTGGCCAGAGGACCCGGGATGTAAAATGTGTCAGCAACCTTGGAGATGTTGTTGATGATGAGGAATGTAACATGAAGCTACGGCCAAATGACATTGAGAATTGTGATATGGGACCCTGTGCCAAGAGCTGGTTCCTTACGGAATGGAGTGATCGGGTAAGGTTGGGTATTTTCATCCAGTTTAATCAGAGTTTGCTCAGGCAAAGCAGAGCATGGGAACTTTCTCCAGTGATGATCGAAGTCCAATCTTTGGTCACGCTAGTCTAAAAAAAAGAAAAAAAAAAGAATTGTATTACACAAATAGCAGTACATACTCATATTGTAGTTTCTGGAAAGTCTTCAAAGAACACCTGTTTTTCTAATTTCATCCCTCAAATGTGTGCCAATTTCTTTTGAAATTCTTCTTGCTGTTTTGAAATTGACTTTCTTGTTCATTGCAGCTGTTGGTGCGCGAAAGCTTTTCACCCCGTAGAATGGTGATTTTTTAAGATGCCACCGATCTTCAGTCCAGTCCATCTTTCCAAATCTGGCCTGGTTGTTCCCATTTCCCAATCTGGGTGGGGGGGGGGGGAAGAAAACAGTGAAAGGAGTTCCCCAGGATTTCTTTCTTTGGGATTGACTTCAATGGGAAGCCAGGAAGCTTGCAATGAGAAACATCTAGTCCACACATTCCTCTGGTCACTAAGGATATTCAAGGACACACTGCCCCACTGACAGTCGGTGATATTCTCGAGTCTTCTGAAAGGGATTTCAGCCGAAAATTCTCTCTCACCAAGAGCGGGGGTCTCCCAACTTGGCAACTTGAAGACTTGTGGACTTCAACTTCTAGAATTCCTCAGCCAGCCATGAAGCCTTGAAGTCCACAAGTCTTAAAAGCTGCTAAGTTGATAGACCCCTGCCCAAGAGACATGGAGAAGATACTTGTTTCTGGAGAAGACCAAAGTATACAGCTTCGACCTTGGTCGTGTCTTCTCTATCTTGGGATCCTCCTTCTCCCAAGGAATCTTAGAGGTGATCCCATTGTGATTGTAGAGAAGATCTCATGGGGGAACCGCAAGAGAAGCTGATTTCTACAGACTTTCAACTCAATAAAGCTGTAATTCTTCCAATTGGCCAGATGGTTATAACTCCATGCCAGAATCGCTCCGCTCCACCAACTTCTTTCTCAAGGCTGACGCTCGGAGCTGTAATTGCCGTCTCTTTTCTCATTTCGCAAAGTATTTTTTCTTTTCTTTAGAGTTTATTTATTTACCTTGACATGGGAATGGTTATCTCTTTAGTGATTTGTTGGAATCCATATGAGAAGAAAAAAGGTATTATTCCCCCAAACAGTGAAGCATAAATAAATGCACAAAAGCATCTCTGGTTTAAACCCAACTCTGTTATAAATCCAGCCACATCAATGAAAAGATTAGTTAGAAGTTTTCTTCCTCTTTCTTGTCCAACCAGCTTTTGTTCTTCCACGTTTTTAAACCTATGACTTAATTTATTTTTTTCTTTTTACATCGGAGAATGGCTTTATGGCTGTTTGCACACGACATACCAAATAATTTTGATTGGATCAGATATTTTGACCCCGAGACGAGAGTCCTTTTGAAGGATGTAGAAGAGTTTAGGAGAGTTTAGGTCCTTTTGAAGGATCTAGGAGAGTTTTAAGATGAATGCCATTCCAAATACAGGAAGTCTCGACATAGGACCACAATTGAGCCCAACATTTCTGTTGCAAGGCGAGACAGTTCATTTTTTTTTCCATTTTACGACCTTTCTCATCACCGTTGTTAAGTGAATCGCTACAGCTGTTAACTTAGTAACACAGTTGTTGAGTGAATTGGGCTTCCCCATTGACTTTGCCTGGCGGTAGGTCAGAAAAGGGGATCCCAGCGACACTGCAACTGTCATAAATACGAGCCAGTTGCCAAGCGTCCGAATTTTGATCACCTGACTGTCAGGATGCTGCAACCGTTGTACGTGCGAGAAACCGGTCTCCTCAGTTTTTCAGTGAATGTTGTAACTTTGAACGGTCACTAAACAAATGGTTGTAAATCGAGAACTGCCTGTAAAGCAGAATTTTTTAAAAAATAGTCTAGAATAACAGATTTGGAAGGGACCTTGGAGGTCTTCTAGTCCAACCCCCTGCTTAGGCAGGAAACCCTACACCACTTCAGACAAATGGTTGTCCAACTTCTCCTTGAAAACTTCCAGTGTTGGAGCATTTACAACTTCTGGAGGCAAGTTGTTCCACTGATTAATTGTTTTAACTGTCAGGAAATTTCTCCTTCGTTCTAGGTTGCTTCTCTCCTTGATTAGTTTCCATCCTTTGCTTCTTGTCCTGCCTTCTGGTGCTTTGGAGAACAGCTTGACTCCCTCTTCTTTGTGGCAGCCCTTAAATATTGGAAGACTTCTATCGTGTCACCCCCTGGTCCTTCTTTTCATTAAACTAGACATACACAGTTCCAGCAACTGTTCTTTATATGTTTTATCCTCCAGTCCCCTAATTATCTTTGTTGCTCTTCTCTGCACTCTTTCTAGAGTCTCCACATCTTTTTTACATATATACAAATAACTGATATGATGATGATCCTTGGTCCAAAAGACAGGTTGTAAATAATTTTCTAGATTTTTTTTAAAAAAAACTCCATGGCATATTTTGAGCGGAGTTCAAAAGTGCTCTGTCCTCTTTTCCCTAATTCTCTTTCTCTCTGTTAGGAAGGAATCAGATTTGAAAGCAACAGAGAAACTCTGGCTGTGCTGTGATACCTTCGTAATATTAACGATTTCCAAATGCTGGGTACTTAAAATCACGGGATTGAGGTTTTCACAGCTGTCTCCGTGGCGAGAGTGACTTTTGGATCACCTTGTGGCCGATGGGGTGACCCAGAAACCGTTCCAACCACTTGCTCCTTTGCTAGAATTCCCCAGCAATTTCTACTTGCGGACAAAACTAATTTGCTTATTTATATTGGGTAGGAAAGCGAAAAACTCCAAAACAAAACAAAACAAATCTAAATTGCTGGTCAATTTAGGTCCTACCCAGATCTCCGCTCTTCATCTCTTGGCTGGCTGGTGGTTCTCCAAGAATGTCCTTATTTTAATTTTGAAAGGAGGGGCGAGACAGAAGCTGAGCGCCAAGGAATATTTTAGCTCTGAAGTCTCCCACCGAAGCCCTTTGAATTCTTTTGGAGCAGTAGATTCTATATTGAAATCTCAGCCGGCAGGGCAGGGCGGGTTCGGTCTGTATCTTCTCCTTTGGCATTTCATCTGAAACCGGATCCGTAGATGCTGGGCTCGCCTGTAGCCATTTAAAACAAAACAGAGGGAGATTATTGTTGAGGAGCTTCACCCAAAGTGGTTTCCAGTTCTTTGTCTTGGAGAGGGCTGGGGGAGGAATGACCCTGGAAAAGGAAAACATCTTTTGCAGGGACAAAACAAAGCCCACCCTAAAATAAAAGTGTTTCTGCTATACTTTTTTTTCCTTTCCTAGGGCCGCACACAGAGAATATATATATATATTTTCTTATGGTGTTCTCCCCTCCTAATGAACTCAAAACCAGCTTGAATGTTCAAGCACCTCCATAACTGAATGTTATCATCCCATAGAACCAAGTTCTTCAATACCAGATCAATATTTCTCCTCTTCCTTCCCCTTCCTCTTCACCTCCTCCTCTTCTCCTTCCCTTCCCCTTTCCTTCTTTCCTCCCTTCCCTTCCTTCCCCTCCCCTTCTCTTCCCTCCCCTTCCTTTTTCCCTTCCTTCCTTCTTTCTTTCTTTCTTTCTTTCCTTCCTTCCTTCTTTCCTTCCTTCCTTCCTGATCCTTTCCTTCCTCCCTCCTTCCCTCCCCTCCTCTTCCCCTAATGAAATTATGTGTGCATCTATGCGTGTGTGTGTATGTGTGTGTGTGTGTGGCTGGGGGTGTTGTGTGCAGTTGCCAAATGCCAAAATTGGCACATGCAGCCTAGCCTGTAACGAAATGCTTACTTGAGGCTTTCTTTCCATGTGAAATATAATATAAATGTTCGTGACTGTTTAAATTCAATTATGCACACATCTCTCAGCGCATGGCTTTTCTTTATTTTCAATCCTCCATTCCCTGCTCCCTCCTCCTCTGAAAGAATCAGATACGAATTCCTGCCTGTCTGGGTCTGTCTTCAAAGGTGATGGACAGTAGAGTGAGACAGGGAGTTAAAGAAAGGAAGAGAAGTGTGGAAAATGAGGATCTAGGTACGACGTGTGCAAAGCGCTTGGAAGAGTTTGCATCCGATCGAAACACTTGGGAGGTTCTGGAAGGTTCAGATTATGTTGCATTCACAGAGGGGGAAAAAAAACCAGGCAGATTTTTCATCCCATTGTTGGGTCCCCCATCTTTTACCACCACCCCTGGATACCCCAAAAAATCTTTGTGTGTTTTCTGTGTATAATGTATGAGAAAGTGAGATATAGCTGTGTTTTTCTTTGCATTACATGCTGTCTGTAGAACTCAGCCTTCTGCAAACGCCAGCTCTGCTTAATTTCCTAAAGTGTATTTCTTTTTTTATCCGTCAGGGACTCAGGGTGAAGGAAAAGGGGTTCCTTGGGGAAAAAAAACCCCCATGGTGCCTTTTGTGCTTCCTGTTTTCTCCTGCCGTTTTTCTCCCCTTCCCCAGTTTTCTGGTACAAGAGGATGTGTAGGAAGAAAAAAAAAGTCTTGCGAACTCTCCCCTAAAAGTTATTTCATTTTATTATAAAGTGGCATCGCCTTTCTCCGTGGCCCAAGGTGGATTTCCCAGCTGGAAATCTGGCCCTGTGTTGTGTATTTTGTGCCAGACAAGCCTCTCTCCTCCTGATGCTTCTCGTAATTCATTTTCTCGTACTTACGATCCTCCCATTGTCTTTTTCGTCCCAACAGTGCTCGGCAGAATGTGGTTCTGGCGTCCGAACCCGTTCCGTGGTCTGCATGACCAACCACATCAGCAGTTTGCCACTGGAGGGTTGCGGGCACAACAGACCCACGGAAAGCACCCCCTGTGACAACGGGCCTTGTTTGGGGAAAGTCGAGTGGTTTGCTGGCAGCTGGACTCAGGTACCTTTAATGCATGGATGCGATGTATTTCTGGATCCTTCTTTAGCTGGAGGGGACGTGATGGCTCAGAGGTTAAAGACACTGATTTTGTCAGATGGAAAGCTGACAGCCCGGGTTTGAGACCCGAGCACTGCACAATGGGGTGAGCTCTTGTTCCTTGCCTGAGCTCCTGCCCACCTAGTGGTACGAAAGCTTACAAATAAATAGGAGGTATGTTGCAGCAGCCAAAAAAGCCAACGCAGCCCTAGGCTGCATTAACAGAGGGATAGACTCAAGGGTGAAGGGTTAATACCATTTTATAAGCCCTTGATGGGACCACACTTGGAATACTGCATCCAATTTTGGTCACCACGATATAAAAAAGATGTTGAGGCTCTGGAAAGAGTGCAGAGAAGGGCAACAAAGATGTTTAGGGCAGTGGTGAAATCCAATTTTTTTTTACTACTGGTTCTGTAGGCATGGCTTGGTGGGTGTGGCAGGGGAAGGATACTGCAAAATCTCCATTTCCACCCCACTCCAGGGGAAGGATATTGCAAAATTCCTATTCCCACCCCACTCCAGGGGAAGGATACGGCAAAATCTCCATTCCCACCCCACTCTGGGACTAACCAGAGATGGTATTTGCTGGTTCTCCGAACTACTCAAAATATCTGCTACCGGTTCTCCAGAACCTGTCAGAACCTGCTGGATTTCACCCCTGGTTTAAGGGACTGCAGGCTAAAGCATATAAATAACAGTTGCAGGAATTGGATATGTCTACAGTAGTCTAGTGAAAAGAAGGACTAGGGGTGACATGATAGCAGCGTTCCAATATCTCAGGGGCTGCCCCAAAGAAGAGGGAGTCAAGCTATTCTCCAAAGCACCTCAGGGCAGGACAAGAAGCAATGGGTGGAAACTCATCAAGGAGAGAAGCAACTTAGAACTAAGGAGAAATTTCCTGACAGTGAGAACAATTAATCAGTGGAACAACTTGCCTCCAGAAGTTGTAAATTCTCCCACACTGGACGTTTTTAAGAAGAGATTGGACAGCGTTTCCTACCTGAGCAGGGGGTCAGACTAGAAGACCTCCAAGGACCCTTCCAACCCTGTTATTCTGTTATCAAATGCGAGTAGATGAATAGGTACCATTTCGGTGGCAAGGTAACAGCATTCCGTGTGCCTTTGGCATAGAGCCATGCTGGCCACATGACCACAGAAAATATCTTCGGACAATGCTGGCCAAGAAACGGAGATGAGCAATGCCCCCTACAGCTGGTGGACATGGGGAAATCTTTACCTTATCTGGAATGGTTGCCAAGAGAACCAAGGTCTGTCTCAAGGCCATGATGTAAGAAAGGCCTTGCACCCCCCTCCTCCAAAAGCAGGTGGGAAGGACAGCTAGATTGCTCTTTCATCTGTCCTTAATGCTGTGCGGTCTTAAGAACAGCTGCAATGCAGATGTGGTAGAGCCTAGCCAGATTTTGCTGGTTGTCTTATCACAGAGAGATGGAAGGGGCCCATTTCAGGTCTCATCTGTTATTGATTTCTCAGCTGAGGGGGGAGAGTAGCCCCGTTTCCCACTTCTCTTTCTGGTCCTGCAGTTTGAAGGCACCTCAGAAGATCCTGCTGAAATGTAAGCCGCGATAAGCATCACGGGGTTTCAGCAAGACAGGTGACCCCTGTGCAGAGCCAGAAATAAGATATGGCTCTAAATGTAGTCTTTCCACACCAAAAAGGTAAAGTCGGAGCCATGGGTTCTACTCTTGCAATATGTCTTCAGATAGTCCTCAGGTTATGACCATTTATTCAAGTTGGTGATGGGGAGCGTCCAAGGGAGAGTCACAATTGGTCCTCCGAGTTCTGGATATCCTAGCATCCTGAAGTCCACAAGTCTTAAAGTTGCCAAAGTTGGACACCTCTGTTTTTAAGCAAGTAGCATTGCAAGATCAGAAGGAAGACCCTACAATCATAGTTGAGAATACTAGGAGGAAAGAAGGACTAGGGGTGACACGATCGCAGTCTTCCAATATCTGAGGGGTTGCCACAAAGAAAAGGGAAACAAGCTATTCTCCAAAGCACCAGAAGGCTAGACAAGAAGCAATGGATGGAAATTTATCAAGGAGAGAAGCAACCTGGAACTAAGGAGAAATTTCCTAAAAGTGAGAACAATTAACAGCTTGCCTCCAGAAGTTGTGAGTGCTTCATCACTGGAGGTTTTTAAGAAGAGATTGGACAACCATTTGTCTGGAATGGTAGAGGGCTTCCTGCTTGAGCAGGGGGTTGGACTAGAAGACCTCCAAGGTCCCTTCCAACTCTGTTACTCTATATTCTGCTCCTTTAATCCAAAGAAGAACATAGTAGAGTATTTGCAAAAGTCTTTCTCCAGCAGTCTACAACCCGCTTATCTCACATTCTTCTAATCTGACCTTGAGACTCAATGCTTACTGAGATGCTGCAAATATGTGTGAAGTCAAAACAAGAGACCTGGGATTTGAAGCCAGTAGTTTTTCACTGGGGTGGGGTGGGCTGGGGGTGTTAAGTCCATTTCCATGATTTATAACATTGAGGAACATTGTTATCAGGCACTTTCCCAGAAATTTTGCAAACCTTGTGGTTTCTCCTTATCTCCACTAGAAAGGCTAGAGCCACCTTGTGATCAAAGAAACAGTTGACCAAATCAAGGATTGTTTCCAACAAACTTTGATGTGTGAATTTTTTCTCATGCTTGTATTAAACTTACAAAATGCCATGATTTAGATCTGTTGCTTTGGTCCATAGTTTTCAGGACTCAAAATCTTCTCATAAGTGAAGCCTTCTCTCCCCCCCTCCCCAGTTTTTTAAAAAAAACCTTCTCTCTGTGGTCCCAGAAAATGCTCTTTGAAAGGAGATCTAAATTAGATGGTCAGTGAATTATGTAGAATAGAATAACAGAGTTGGAAGGGACCTTGGAGGTCTTCTAGCCCAACCCCCTGCTCAGGCAGGAAACTCTACACCACTTCAGACAAATGGTTATCCAACCTTTTCTTAAAAACTTCCAGTGCTGGAGCATTCACAACTTCTGGAGGCAATTCATTCCAATGATTCATTGTTCTATCTGTCAGGAAATTTCTCCTTAGTTCTAAGTTGCTTCTCTCCTTGATTAATTTCCATCCATTGCTTCTTGTCCTACCCTCAGGGGCTTTGGAGAAGAGCTTGACTCCCTCTTCTTTGTGGCAACCCCTGAGATATTGGAATGCTGCTATCATGTCTCCCCTAGTCCTTCTTTTCATCAAACTAGACATACCCAGTTCCTGCAACCATTCTTCATATGTTTTAGCCTCCAGTCCCCACATCAAGGATTGTCTGTCATCATCAGCCCCGGTCTCCCTGAGTATAGAATTAACATTTGGAGATTCCCAGGATGGCAAGTTTGCACAACGGATTTTAGAAGCTTAGTCGGTTCTGATAAAAGCAGTTCCTTCCATCTTTCCTCTAGTAACGTTGGCGATACTCACACCTTACACTTTGCTAAGCACCAGCAGGTCATTCTCACTCCACAAACGTTTTTCCCTGAAAATAAAACACAACTTTTGCAACAGCCAAAAGTTTTCGTTTGGTTAACTGCTCCCCTAAGAGTTAACTTGCTCGGAGACCCGCAATTTACAATGCTGTTAACAGGAATTATGTTTGAACTCCAGACATCCATGTTGAGTTTATCTATAAATCTACCCTCTCGCCCCAGGCCTCTAATTTATTTCTCCAAGGTAATAAATTCTTCAGGAATAGGCACCCGAGAATATTTTAAAACCCACAAGACTTTAATTCTCCTTTGTTAGTTATAATCTCTTTCTCTGCAACAGATGGGCACATACTGATATGGCAGGACTGGAAAACATAGAAAATGACACAAAAGCACTTTTCAGGGCTGTCGTATTGAAAGCAGATGATAGCCCTTTCAAAAGAGCTTTATTAAAATTGTGCAACTTAGTTGTTGGTTTATGATCGCTGGTGTCCCCATTGAAAAATAGAGGTAATTTATGAGCCCTTGCATCAGGATAAATACGTGAGCCTTTCAGGCATCTCAAAAATAATGATGGCTTGAAAGCCTACTCAGATAAATCAGCTCAACTCCATCAATCATCTGATTGGTACACAATAAAAAGGGAAAAGAGAAGAAAGCGAAAAGGAACTCAAATATTGGAGCAAGAGTTGCATCTGTGCCCAGAAAATTGGAACAGGTCAATCTGGGCAACTTTATGACTTGTGGACTTCAACTCCCAGATTTCTGGCTGGCTGAGGAATTCTGGGAGTTGAAGTCCACAAGTCTGCAAAATTGCCAAGATTGGAGACCCCTGAGGTAAAGGGCAAAGCTAAACTTGATAGGAATACATCAAGGTTTCTATGGATACACAAATAGATTTCAGTGACTTGATTAAATGCTACCCTTGAGGATGGGTAAAATTGATGCCCAGAATTAATCAAGTTTCTATTGCGCGTATCCACTTACCCAAAAGAAAAATCCTCATATTCTTCATGGAAACCAGTAGCTGATTGAAGCTTTTTATCAAGACACATGGATCAATAACGGCAGAATTCTGGAACGGCAAAGAAACTCAGGGACTCCAAATCTATGAGTTTTAAGAATGCTCTACTTAGAATTCAGGAGAACTGGAGCCCAAGCAAAGGATCAGGCAAGGAAAGAATGGGTGAAACTTTAGAGCTAAAGAAAATTTCTTCATCTTACTCTGGAGAAAAGATTTTGAGCAGGGACATTCCGAAAAGATGAAATTGAAAGTCTCCAGCAAAGTATGGTCAAATGAATTTATTACAGCCCTGAAGTCAGATGTAGAGAAGGTATTGAATAAAAGTATTTAATTCAAAGCATCACATCCCTCTCTCTCTCTCTCTATATATATATGTACAAGGCAAGTCTATTAGTCCACTACTCGCAGAAGAGAATATTTGTAACTCAGGGTTGAACTGTGGGGACGTTGATGCTCTCTGAGCTTGATGGTTTTCTTGCAAATATTTCATTACATAAACTGGGTAATATCATCAGTGCTACAACAGAGGGAGAGAGGGAGAGAGGAAGGAGGAGGAGAGGAGGAGGACTGTGGATTCTTTGGTGCTCTCTGAATTTGGCAGTTTTCTTGCAGACGTTTCATGACCCAACTAGGGAACCTCATCAATGCAGAAGGGAGAGGGTTTGCTCTCTGTTGGACATGAGAATATGTCCCTCTAGCATTGATGGTGTTATCTAGTTGGGTCATGAAACATCTGCAAGAAAACAACCAAGCTCAGAGAGCACCAAGGACCCCCCAGCCTATTCTAAGTATTGGTTTCTCGTGCCAAACTGCTCTTCGCCTTCCACCCCAAACTGCAGTCTTAGAACTTGACCCTCTTAGATCGAGACACAACTCTTTGCTTTTGTTGGTGAACAGTTAAAAGCAATGAGTTTAGGCTGAGTTATCTCCCCCCCCCCATCTCTCTTAACCAGACCATACTAAAAACTTTTGTTATTCTGGATTTGGGTCAGTTTGAGCTGCGTTTAGAACACTTTCGGTATCACGTGTGTTGATTTTGCTCGGAACAGCCTGTACTTTTCGCTGGGACAGCTGATCTATGTCTATTCAAATATTACAAAAATTATACTTGGCCTATCAACAATATTCCCCTTTTTAAAATAAGAGTCAGTTATGCTAGGCTAACCCAAAGCTCCAAAGCTCTTTAGCAATCGTAGCCTTTCAAAGTGACCTAGAAACTGGTAAATTGTTGGAGTTGTCTTCTCAAGATCATTTTCACAAAGTGCTGTGTCTGTATATATTTAACCTTTAAGGAGACAGGAGAGAACTTCAAAAGCCAAAATTAGCTTTTTCAGACCTGAAAGTCCATGTCCAAAAACCCTGGTGGATTGCTAGTCCTTCCCAAAGATGGAAAAGGACGAGAGATTTTTAGAAGCCAGCAGTCAACCTGAATTCTCACCTCAAATTGCTGGCGAAGTAGCACTTTTGCTTAGAACAGGGGTCTGCAACCTTAAACACTCAAAGAGCCATTTGGACCCATTTCCCACAGAAAAGAAAACATCGGGAGCCACAAAACCCTTCCCGTCCCTGACTATTTCTTGAGGGGCCACAAAACTAGCATATGTAGTTGAATTAAAAGTTCTGTTTGCTTCTGAAACTTCTCTTTTCTTGGATTTATCTGCAGTTGGCCTACCAGGGGTTGAAAAGCTCAATAAATCGCGTGGTGGCGGATGTCGCACATTAGTGGTTGTGACACATATTTTGAGTGACAGGGAGCCGCAGCAGAGGGGTCAAAGAGCCACATGCGGCTCCAGAGCTGCCGGTTGCTGACCCCTGGCTTAGAAACTGCAATTTTGTGTTTTGGGGAAGAAAAAAACCCACCCACATTTGTGCGATGGCTGCCCCAAGGGAAAGGGCGTCTTTACCCACTTGGATTTCTGCTGATCTGTGGTCTTTCTGACGCTCGAGCTGGTTCCACCTCATTTCCACATGGGCTTTGCAAATATTTGGGTAGGAGATGCATACAAAGGAAACAGCCTCACCTCGGCCCCTGAAAGAACGTGTTTAGAAATGTACGGCATCAGAGAACCGCCTGCTGTTATATATGCCTTTTTGTTTTTTTAATGCATGCTTTGATCAGAGGACTGCAACACAACTATAAGAGAAAAGCATTCTGCTTGGGATATTGGCCTGGAAAGGAAGAGGTGGCGTAATTCCCTGCTTTTTGTTGCTCCTTGTAAAGGGTGTGAGGGAATTTGTGGTTCCTCGGGAGCTAATTGAATGAGTTACCTAAATGGAGGAAAACAAATTGGATGAAATTCAGAGCTCGCCTTTGGCCAACCTGCCTTGTCTTAGTTCTCCTAAGAAAAACTTCTGAAAAACTCCAAACTCCTTTCCCTTCAAATAGCCACCCATGCCACAATCTTCTTTCCTTTTTTCTTTATTATGGTACACCCAGGAGGATCTTACTCCAACATATTTTTCCTCTGGTTTTTTAAGGTCTTTCTTTCCTTCCTTCCTTCCTTCCTTCCTTCCTTCCTTCCTTCCTTCCTTCCTTCCTTCTTTCCTTCCTTCCTCCTTCCCTCCCTCCCTCCCTCCTTCCCTCCCTCCCCCACTCTTCCCCTCCCTCCCTTTCTTTCCTTCCTTCCTTCTCCCTCCCTCCCTCCTTCCCCTCTCTTCCCCTCTCCCTCCCTCCCTCCCTCCCTCTCTTTCTTTCTTTCTTTCTTTCTTTCCTTCCTTCCTTCCTCCCTCCCTCCTTCCCCTCTCTTCCCCTCCCCTCCCTCCCTTTCCTTCCTTCCTCCCTTCCTTTCTTTCTTTCCTTCCTTCCTTCCTTCCTTCCTCCTCCCTCCTTCCTTCCTTCCTCCATCCCTCCCTTCTTCCCCTCTATTCCTCTCCCCCTCCCTTTCTTTCTTTCTTTCTTTCTTTCCTTCCTTCCTTCCTCCCTACCTCACTCCCTCCTTCCCCTCACCTCCCTTCTTTCTTTCTTTCTTTCTTTCTTTCTTTCTTTCTTTCTTTCTTTCTTTCTTTCTCTCTCTCTCTCTCTCTCTCTCTCTCTTTATTTCTTTCCCACATTAAACAAGAGGTCAAACACGCTGGCCTAGCTCGGGTTTCTGTACAGCCACATGACGTTGGGTGGAATCTTGCAAACCGATACTGGTGTTCTGTGAAAACGAGGGCTTATTAAACGTGAAGTATCAAACCGCCTGTTTATTTTGTTTCTAAGCAGAATCAATTAGTCCTCCTGATTAAAGTAAGATGCCTGCAACAGATCCTGAGGGTGGTTGCTGCAAATTAAGTTGGACTTTGAGTTCACAAAAAAACAAAGCAAAGTGTTAAAATCCAAAGCCAACGGTTCTTGGATCGGCCACTGAAGTATCTTTTAATTCTATTTTTCTTGCTTTCTCGTGATTGCTATTCAAGGTACGAGAAGCTGTTTCTGTGTTGGCTTAGTTCAGCGCACAGTTCTTTTACAAATGGGACATGATATTCTTACAGTGATTTCCCAGGTCGCACACTTATTTTAATAGCGTTTGGGTCACTTTATCAATTCAGGGCATTGCTGAGATTAATATGCGATTCCTGTCTGTCTGGAACACTAGGAAAGAGAAAGATAGCCAAACTGGAACCAGGAAAGCATCAAAACCCTGGAGACAGAAACAAGACAAGTGGAATAAATGGATTTTGGAAAAGGCAAAGAGGGAAGAATAACATAACCCTGGACTGCTGCTGCTCTCTTCCCCAGAAGATATTTAATTGGGAACAAGTACATGTTCCCCTGTTCCATCAAACCTGTTTCAAAAACATTATGGGATGAAATTCTAGGAATCAAGTTGTTTAGCTATTGTATCTCTTCTGTGGGATCCACTCACAACTCTATGCATATTCTTGGGTGGGAAGAGCATCTAATTGCTAATGGCTGGAACTCACATTAATTGTGCAGAAATGATGTGAACTGATGTGAGAAATTCCTCCTGGTGTTTCCCCCTCCCCTCTTCTCCCTGAAGACTGAGGACGGGGGGATATATCTGTGGAAGGAATAGGAAAGCAAACTTTGTGTAATCTTTTGCCTGGTCCTAAGAGGTGTGGTTCGCTTCTACGCCAGGATTTCTCAACCTTGGCAAGCTTGTTCTGTTATCTAGAAAAGGTTGAGCTGTCCACCTTGTACATCTCTCCCTCTGCATTTTTGTCACCCGTCCAGTGTTCCATCGAATGTGGCAGTGGCACCCAGCAGCGGGAAGTCATCTGTATTCGGAAAACGGAGAACCAGTTTGAGATGCTGAATCCCCACGAGTGCGCCTTCCTGCAAAGACCACCCAGCCAGCAGAGCTGCTACCTCAAACCTTGTGGTGCTAAATGGTTCAGTACCGAATGGAGCGCTGTATGTATCCATCCTTTTTCCGTTCTTGATTTGCATTAAAGTACACAGGCAGCAGTCCTCGACCTATAGCCATAATTGTTCAGCGACTCTTGAGTTTACGACCTTTGCTGCCACGGTGGTTAAGCCAGTCGCTGCCGTTGTTAAGGGAATTGTGCAGTCGTTAAGCGAACCTGGCGTCCCCTATTGACTTTGCTTGACGGTAACCGAAGGGGAGCGTTGCCGATCACATGACCCCGGAAAGGATGTTGTGATTGCCGTAAATAAATGCTGGTTGACAAGCACCCAAATTTTGATCAAGTGACTGCAGGGAACTCTATGATGGTCATAAGGGCGAGGACCGATCGTGGCATTTTTCAGTGCTGTAACTTCGGATAGTTGCTAAACGAATGCTTATAAGTCGAGGGCCATTTGTACAATGCGCTGCTGATGCTGAAACTATTTTTGAACTTTTGGATTCGTGACGTAGGAGCTGTGGTGGCACAGTGGTTAGAATGCAGGATTGCAGGCTGGCTCTGCCCACTGCCAGCAGTTCAATCCTGACCGGCTCAAGATTGACTCAGCTTTCCGTTCTTCCGAAGTTGGAAAATGAGGACGCAGATTGTCAGGGTCAAGAGGCTGACTCTGTAAACCGCTTAGAGAGGGCTGTAAAAGCCCCGTGAAGCGATATAGAAGTCTTAAGTTCTATTGCTAGTGCTATAAACACATTCTTTAATGAATAATTTAAAAATCGGAAGATTGCGGATGAAGTCAGCTGCTGGTAGATTTTGATGCTGCAATCATAAAGCAGGGACATGTTGCTTTCACTGTTTTGTTTCTGCGATCATAAATTCGTCCCTTCCTTCTTCCCCACGCATTGGTGGAGTCGGTCCATTCTCTCCGTGCTGTCCAAAATAGCATTTTTGCCCCATTCCCAGGCGCAGCAGGAACCAAAACGCAAGCAAGAAAGGTTTTGCTTAATTAAAAAAACGCACATTAAGAACATTACTCTCAGAAACACTTGAGATAGCTTGCAGATTAAAGATAAATGCACTGATTAAGGTAAGCATATAATAACCCAGGGTATTATTTACATTCGCAGCCTTTGGTCTTCCCAGAAACTCAAGTTTGGCTCGCTCTGCTGTACTGCTCATAATCTTGGGAGGGGAATCGGTCAGAGAATGAGTGACTTGCACAGGGTCATCCCAAGAACTGCTCAGCTCAGTGGGGATCTCTGCACATCGCCTCCCCGGCTGATGTTGAGCCTCACACAGGATTAAAAAAAAAAATGTACATTCACAGCTTGGATTCTGAAAACAAAACATTGGTTAAGGATGACCCTCAGACTTGAAGGGAACAATGAAGATTTTAGAAGCTGCAGTCCAGCAGACAGACAGACAGACAGATGATAGGTGGGTAGCTAGCTAGGTAGGTAGATAGGTATGTAAGTAGATGGTAGATAAATGATAGATAGATAGATAGATAGATAGATAGATAGATAGATAGATAGATAGAAAATTGGATGGATATATGGATAGAAAAGGGACATCATGGCTCAGTGGCTAAGACGCTGAACTTGTCGATCAAAAGGTCGGCATTTCAGTGGTTCAAATCCCTAGTGCCGCGTAATGGGGTGAGCTCCCATTACTTGTCCCAGCTTCTGCCAACCTAGCAGTTCGAAAGCACATTAAAAAAAAATGCAAGTGGAAAGATAGAGACCACTTTGGTGGGAAGGTAACAGCATTCCGTGCGCATTTGGCATTGAGTCATGCCAGCCACATGACCATGGAGACGTCTTCGGACAGCACTGGCTCTTCGCCTTTGAAACAGAGATGAGCACCGCCCCCTAGAGTCGGGAACAACTAGCACATATGTGCAAGGGGAACCTTTACCTTTACCTTTTATGGAGATAGATAGACATAGATAGATGATAGTTGGATGGAATATGGAGATGATAGATAGATAGATAGATGATAGATAGATAGATAGATAGATAGATAGATAGATAGATAGATAGATGATAGATAGATAGATGATAGATAGATAGATAGATAGATAGATAGATAGATAGATAGATTGACAGACAGACAGATAGATTCCCCCAACTGCACCACAATTATTTTGTCTCTTGGTTTTGCAGTGTTCCAAGTCTTGTGAAGGGGGCTTCCGAATCCGGGAGGTGCGATGTCTTTCAGATGACATGTCCCCCAGTACCAAATGTGACTCCCAGCTGAAGCCGGTGGAGAAGGAGTCCTGCAACACCCAGGACTGCGTGCCTGAAATAGGTAGGAAGCCCGTTTTTGGGTTTTCTAACCATGGAACTCCATCTAGTGGAGAAAGAAAGAAAGAAATCTATTGATGCCCCTGAGGTTACGAAGGCAGTTCTTAGACCGATAGATAGATGATTTTTAACTAGAGCTACATGTATCTCTCTTTTTTTTTTTAAAGTTATTTTTTCAGTTGTAGTTTGGAATGAAAAGTTGGGTGGATGGGTGAATGGTTGGAAGATAGATAGATGATAGATGACATATAGATAGGTATAGATAACAGATTCCTGGATGGATGGGTGGGTGGTGGGTGGATGGGCAGATAGATAGATAGATAGATAGATAGATAGATAGATAGATAGATAGATAGATGATAGATAGATAGATAGATAGATAGATAGATAGATAGATGAGAGAGAGAGAAAGAGAGAGATGATAGATGATAGATGATAGATGATAGATGATAGATGATTGAAGATAGATAGATAGATAGATAGATAGATAGATAGATAGACAGACAGACAGACAGACAGACAGACAGACAGACAGATAGATAGATATAGAGAGACAGTCAGACAGACAGACAGTGTTTGAGTCAGTGGGCAGTGTCCTGATGACCTCCTGGACTGGACCTTTCAGTCTTGTTGAATTCTATGAGTTGAAGTCCACAAATCTTAAAGTTGCCAAGGTTGGAGACCCTTACCCTAAGAGGTCTTTTGCCTGTTCTGCTTCCAGATGAAAACTGCAAGGATAACTACTACAACTGCAATGTTGTGGTTCAAGCCCGCCTCTGCGTCTACACCTATTACAAGACGGCCTGCTGTGTGTCCTGTTCCAGAGTGGCGAATCGGCAGTCGGGCTTTTTAGGGAGAAGATAACAGCTGCTTCGTCCTGGGCTTTGGACCTGTGCCTCAGTTCTCCCAAGCTGCTTTCACAACACTTCTACCTTCCCAAGAGTGGTTCTTTTTTCCCATAATGATGGAAGGGGCGATGGAAGCACCTTTGGGGGATACCACTAACACACACTGTATTAAAAACTTTGGGGAAACCCATGCTGTAATGCTGGACCTTCAAAGCTTTAGGCGTGAGGAGACACACTGATGGATGGATGGATTTATTATGTGCCATCAAGTTACTGATGTCTCTTAGCAACCTCATAGGTTTTCTCCATGTCAATCTGTTGTCTCTAACCTGGTCTTTCAGCTTTTCAGGATGCGTGACAATAGAGGTAGTCTTCAAACTTACAACCAGAATTAGGACCAGAATGTCCGTTGTAAGTCATTGCGGTTGTAAATTGACAGTAGAAGGCACGGGGGGGCTGATGGAACATCTGGCACTTCTAAAACGAAGTGGGAGAGGTCTTTGCATTGTCACTTTTGATGAAGCTCATCTGATTGGGTGTTGCCCCAGGCAAAGTGACTTGATCATTAGCGGTTGACTTTGTTAGAGGTGTTGTCCAAGCAAGACTACCTGGCATCTCACAGTCTCTTTGAAGGGCAAGGATAGATATGGAAAATCATCCAAACAACTCCTCGTTGACTTGAGTCAAGTTGACCTACCCAACCCATGTTCTCTTTGACTTCTGAAAAGGCAGCTTCATGGAGGACTGTGCAAGGGAGGAATGGTTTTTTTGTAGAAGTGGATTCCCTCCTCTCCCCACAAATCTTGCAGAATGGCGTGGTTTTTTCCCCAATTACTTCAATTGTCTTCTAGTAAACAATCAAGTTGTTTCAGTCTCCTTTTTCAGGTTCATCACATTCCTTTCTTCAGCTATGGAACAAGTTTAAGGAACCCATGTTTATGGCCTCCATGTTTCATTTGTAGAACCATTCCACAAGACCTCCTTCTGGGCTAAGAACATTTGCTGTGTTCTATCATTTCCTGTTCTTGGAGAGATGGAGAACAAGCTCCCTTAAGTTCCAATTTAACTATGTTTATGTCACCGAGTGATTGCTTTTGATTTCCAATCAAGGCACCGAAGGATGAGAATCAGTCAGGGTAGGCCTCCTGCATCATCCTTCAATTCTTGGATGGAAATAGACATCTCAAGGACGTGTCTTGCTCACTTTGAAGAGAAGAGTGAATTAGGAACTCAGATTTCGTATCTGATGCTGATTTTAGTTCAAGAAGAGAAGGCTTTTTATTCATTCCACCTCGCTCCCTCTACTCAGTTTTAGCTCAGATCCCAGTTGGCTTTGCAATAAACAAGATCAACTCATGGTTTGGAGAAAATTAGCTTTGTTTATGCCAGGTCCATACAAAAGTAGAGAGATTTCTCATCTCTGTTCAACAGAGGCATGAAAAGTAAGCCAGATTTAGGCAACTGGCAGAATGAGGCCCTCCCTCCCGTTCCCTGTGCCAACTAACCTAAAATTAATCCCATCTGGCAACATAAAGAAGGATATACTTTTTTTATAACTTATTTTTTTATATTTGTAAATACAAGATGTTTATAGGAAAGTACGTATTCTAAACGATGTCTATGCAGATCAAGCCACTACAGCAAAATAGTTCTATTATTTAGAAAGCGATATTTTTTTGTGGTGTATTTTTAACAAACAAACAAACAAAAAAGGGACTAAAATTGTATTTATTTATATATTCCACTGCCATGTTTGTCCAGTTTTTTTGGTAATACTAATCAGCTTTTAGCCTGGAAATTTTATACCATGTCGAATATATCAGTATCATACTTAAATCCATATTTAATGGGTATGTTTTTTAAAAAAATTCCATGGTTAACCATCCATTTTTACAAATGGCTTCTCGTGTTAAAAAGTGAGAGATGTATAAGTTAAAAGGACCTCTAGACTAGTTCAGGTTTTATATGCTCAGCAATCCACCTGGACTGCATCTGTACAGCATACTTTTAATATTTGTACACATATTGGCCAATGAGGAAAAAAAGATATTTTTGCTTATGACTAATTTATTTTTTATTATTGTGAAAAAATAATAAAGACATTAAATAAATGTCCTTGGCTTCTTTTTTAGTTTTGTCTCCTCCCCCTCCTCCTCCTCCTCCTCCTCCTCCTCCTCCTCCTCCTCCTCCTCCTCCTCCATCATTTCATTTCTTTAAAAGAATAAAAGGACAACAATAACCTATCTCTTTATTGTCTCCACAGATGCCACAAGTACTGGTATACATTGCTTAAATTTCATTTGCATTCCTCAAGATTTTTACTAAGTGTCTCAGTAAGTACTGTGAACTCTTCTGTCTAACACTCTTCTTAATCACTAGTAACGCTAAGCATCTTCGCCACCAACAATCAAGATTTAAACTTTGCTTCTGTAAATTAGGTGTATCCTTCCTGTAAAAATCTGTATCCGTTTTCAGTGGGCAGGTGAAGCAAGGTGTAATAGTCATGTTACACTTTTCCCAATATTGGACTATTTGCAAATTTCCTGAATTTGAATATTTGCACATTTCTTTGAGGAAGAGTTTTCAAATTCTTAAGTCATTTAGGAATCTGTTTGAAAATTCTCAAGTTGGGCAAATCTTTCAAAGGGTTAATGCACAATTTTGGGGATACTTTCACCATTCTTAAACTTATTATATATATATATAATATTTGCTGATAAAGAAATAAAGGGAGACTAGTATAGATCTATTTCAAGCTATTTAGTTCTCATCAGCTAGCCATACCCTTACTCGGATTCAAACTTGGGCTGCCTGCATATTAGGCAGTTGTATTAACCTCTGAGACACAAGTTCTCCTCCCTTTATCAGCTTGAGCCAGGGAAGAGATTAAGTGTTTTTCTGTCGAAGCACCTGGTCTACCCCAATATGGGAGGGAGCATAAAGGTGAAAAGGAAGCAGTATGCTCGTCCCATATTGGGGTAGACCAGGCATTTCGACAGAAAAGCATTTATATGTATTTAGCTCTGATGAGAGCTAAATAGCTTGAAATAGATCTATATTAGTCTCCCTTTATTTTTTTATCAGCGAAATATAAATTTTATAGATGATAGATAGATGATAGATAGATAGATAGATAGATAGATAGATAGATAGATAGATAGATAGATGCTGTGATTATATATGCTATATATGCTGTGATTTTTAGGGCAATCACAGCCTATTGAAAGCAGGTTGGCCCCAGACAATAAGAAAAATATGCCCAGGTTTTTCTTTCATTTCTAAATGCTGCTCACACATAGTAAGTTTTTTCTGAGAAAGGAAGAATGTGAGTGATCAAAATTATAGGGTACTGATGTGGAAGTCAGGGTAAAATCCAGTCTGTTTTGATTTTAATGCAGATTTCCTTGCAGGGTATATAATTTTTATTCACTCAAAAGATGTTAATGTCCGGTTTCTTATTGTAAGTTGTTTTTCTCTCTCTCTTTTCCTTTTTCTAATGCAATTGCTTTTTTTTATATAGTGGAGCTAAGGATATCTGCATTTTAAAAAAGGCTAGGTCTCTAATTTCACAACCGTCATCTTGACTCTTTTTGTGTTCCAAAGAACACAACCTCTGCAGGAAAGGTATGTTTTTCATAAAAATAATGTGTTTTTCATACCGATTTTTGACCAGGGAATGATGAATGCTACTGGATTCATTAAATGATATTAACTGTCTGCCCTGTACCATAATTTTGGTGACTCTCTCACAAATTCTACAGAAACCCTTCACTATTTACTTCTTTGTATGTTTCCATTCTCTCTTTTTAAAAAAATTTTCGTTCTGCAATTTTCTTAGGAGCCCTTTTTTTTTTTTTTTTTTTTTGAAGAAAAGATTTCCAGCACACGTAGTTCTTCATGCCCAATCTCGGTGAAATTCTTAACCTCAGCTTGATGGTGATGGCTCTCTTAAGTATTTCAATGCCCTAAAGTGGGAAGAAGATAAAAAGATTTGCCTGTGAATCACACAGATGCGTCGCCAATTCTGTCCCTGGACTCCAATTATCCTTCCTTTACATTAGTGCTGTAGAGTAAAAGCTTACAAAGCAAGGGATGTTTCTAAAAAAGAATCACTAATCTTTAAGTAACAGGTAGCTCTCCCCTTGATTGATAAGCAACCAAGATCGCTAAATGGATTTTTGGCAACCATAAAAACGCCCAGAGCATACCCCCAGATTCAAACGACAAAAATAGGACACTGCTAAAATCATTTATTTGCGATAGTGGCAAATATCTGTAGCTTCGGTGGAGGATGAGGGTTGAGGTTCGTTCTCCGAGCTTGTGGGTTGGTTTCTGAATGTTCCGTTACCAGGCTAGGTAACATCTTCAGTGGAATTTAGGGGATGTCGGTGGTCTTCTGTTTATAAGGGCTTCATGTGGTCAGTAGGTCTCGTGACGGAGAGGTCACTTTGGGTGAAGGTCCCTTCAGGCCAGGATCCAATATCTCAGGGGTTGCCACAAAGAAGATTTGGGGGTCAAGCTATTCTCCAAAGCACCTGAGGGCAGGACAAGAAGCAATGGGTGGAAACTGATCAAGGAGAGAAGCAACCTAGAACTAAGGAGAAATTTCCTGACAGTGAGAACAATTAATCAGTGGAACAACTTGCCTCCAGAAGTTTTGGGTGCTCTCTGCTTAAACACTGAAAGTTTTTAAGAAGATGTTGGATAACCATTTGTCTGAAGTGGTGTAGGGTCTCCTGTTTGAGCAGAGAGTTGGACTAGAAGGCCTCCAAGTTATTCTATTCTATTCTATTCTATTCTATTCTATTCTATTCTATTCTACCAGCTCAAAGAACAAATCTCCATCCTCAGAATCATTTATTACTAGACAATTTGTTAGATCGTAATCGACCTGAGCCGAGGAGGGTTAGATTTTTTGTTCTTCTTGCTTTGTGAATGAAAGGCTGATGAAGCGAGCAAGAATGGTCCTTGAAATTTTGTTTGCAATTTGCATGTTTAACAAGGTGTGACCTCAACTCTGCCGCTGGAATTAAACTGTAGATCTCCTACCAATGCCTGGAGCTCCTAGTTGTGTTTACACAAGGGGTAAAATTCATTCCCGAGTGAAAATCTTGAAACTCGCAGACCTTTGTAATACTCCTAAACTCACTCTAAGCATCTCCTCTTGAAGGTTAGCCTCAGAAGGATTTTGCTGGAGATGGTTATTTCAAGACAGAGTTAGCTTCAAAAATTCACCCAAACATCCTGGTTGGGCAGAAACAAGTATTAATTTGTGTAATTAACTCTATCATCTGAAGAACTTAAAATTGACCCACGGATGCATTGTATAAAAAAGCTTATCACGTAATAAATATTTTCATATCTAGAGCCGTGGTAGTCCAGTGGTTAGAATGCAGGATTGCAGGCTAACTCTGCCAACTGCCAGCAGCTTGATTCTGACCAGTTCAAGGTTGACTTGAGCCTTCCATCCTTCCAAGGTCAGCAAAATGAGGACCCAGATTGTTGGGTGCAAGAGGCTGACTCTGTAAACCGCTTAGAGAGGGCTGTAAAAGTACTATGAAACGGTATATATGTCTAAGTGCTATTGCTATCTTCCTTCCTTCCTTCCTTCCTTCCTTCCTTCCTTCCTTCCTTCCTTCCTCCCTCCCTCCCTCCCTCCCTCCCTCCCTTCGTCCTTCCTTCCTTTCTTCCACCCTTCTTCCTTCCTTCCTTCCTTCCTTCCCAATGGTTAGAATGCAGCATTGCAGGCTAACTCTGCCCACTGCTATGAGTTCAGTCCTGACCAGCTCACGGTTGACTCAGCCTTCCATCCTTCCGAGGTGGGTAAAATGAGGACCCAGATTGTTGGGGGCAAAAGGCTGACTCTGTAAACTGCTTAGAGAGGGCTGTAAAAGCACTGTGAAGTGGTATACAAGTCTAAATGCTATTGCTATTTTGACACCAGATATAAAATGTGCAGCTTTTACAATTTTTCAAAATAAAATTATATAGATCTATCATGAAACCCTCCAGGTTGGAAAAGAAGCTAATAATAGGGTGGGTGGAAGAGTCACATTAGGGTGCGTGTTTATGTCTACATATCTGTGTGTGTGTGTGTGTGTGTGTGTGTGTGTGTGTGTGTGTGTGCGTGTGTGTGTGTGTGTGTATTTCTTTCAGCTTGCCAAAACAACAACAGCAAAGTCTTGGCTTTATAACGTTAGAATTTGGTCCAGACGTTTGAATTTGCATGCTTGTTTTCTCCTTGGGGGGGAAAAATGTGAAGTTGTGTGTACATTGCTTTAAACCTTCTCAGATCCACCAGTCCATTCCTGCTTTTTTCATGAACAAATCCATTCGAGCTTTTCTGCCATATGGTGTCACTGTTGCACATCGGCATTAAAAAAATCTATCTGAAAGGGCCTCGTAATCATGATTAAGGTTTTTAAACAAGAAGGGGGGCAAAAGACTTCAAAAGGAACTGAGAAAGTTTTAAAAGTTTCTTTGCTAATGGCCCATTAGTATATTCTCTCTCTCTCTCCCTCCCTCTCTCTCTCTCTCTTTCTCTTTCTGTCTCTCTTTCTGTCTCTCTTTCTCTCTCACTATCTTTCTCTCTCTTTCTGTCTCTCTTTTTCTCTCTCTCTTTCTCTCTCTTTCTCTCTCTCTTTCTCTCTCTTTACCTCTCTCTCGTTCTCTCTTTCTCTCTCTCTCTCTCCCTCTCTCTCTTTCTCTCTCTCTTTCTCTTTCTCTTTCTTTTTCTGTCTCTCTGTCTCTCTACCTCCCTCTCTTTCTCTCTCTCTTTCTCTCTCTCTTTCTCTCCCTCTCTCTCACACACACATACACACAAACACACACATACACCTGCAGAAAGTGTCAAAAAAGTTAATTTGATGATGACTTTACAGATAATCCTCGATTTACAACAGTTCATTTCAGGATGGTTTGAAGTTGCAATGGCACAGAAAAAAGCAATTGATGACCATTTTTCACACTTACGACGGATGCAGCATCCCCCTGTTCTGATTTACATTCAGATGCTTGAAAACTGACTCATATTTATGACGGTTGCAGCCTCCCAGGGTCACAGACACATCACTTCTTTTTTTCCTCTAGTTCTTTTTTTTAAAAAAAAACT